AAAACAGCTGAAAATGTAGCGTGGTACAGTTCTTGTTTTATTTAATGGGTAGTGTGGTACAATTGACACCGTGGAATTCGGTTAGTGGAAAAGTAAACCATGATTGGTGCAATCTCAGCCGTGCAACTGCAGAAACGAACGACCTGTCACTAATCATCATCATAAAACCCACCCCTATGTTCTACGAGACCACGAGCGCCATGTAGATGTATCGACGTATCCATCCGGCAGAAGCAACACCGTTCCGGCTTGTCTAGACAGGGAGTATCCACAAGTCCACAGATCCCCAATTTATAATAGAACCAGAAAAAAAAAACAGTATAAAATCATACGATGCTGACATGCGTGGCCAACTAGCCGTTCCGAGCTTACGGCGAAAGATCACGGGCAATCCTCACGTCCTAATCACCCCCACACACAGAGAGAGCTTAGCGTCCTCTCGGTATATTCCGCGGCGTCAGCAACCTGATCCACTTTATTACTCCCCTGCCTTTAAACCTCCAGCCACGCCTGACGAGGCGTTTATTAGAGAAGTTTAATAGTGTAGCCCACTACTGACTCCAAATCAACTATAGCTAATGTAACAGCTAATTCATATAATAGTTGCTTACTATACTATTAATACATTGTCCCATATATCATTCACACATTACGTTTTGGAGTCCGTTCTACAGCTAGCTACAGATATGTAGCCTTAAAATATGTTTATAGTTGGCTTATAGCATGCTATTGTACCTGCTCTTATCCGTCCCTGTCGTGAAGCGAGAAGGTAGCACCTCCTCCTCCTATCAGATACGCCTCCCCGAGTTGGGTTCGATCCGAGAGGACCGAGACCTTATCTCCGCGTAAATAAACACAAACAGAGGCCCATCGCTCGCGCGCGCCTCTCCTTCTCCTCCCATCCCGTGTGACTGTCACCTCGCTGCCAGCCAAGCCACACGCGAGAGAAATCCCTCCTCGTATTCGTGTACCGCGAGTAGAAGCCACGACTGGCTCTCACTGCGTCGCGCGCGGCCACACGTTCGTTCGTTCGGCCGCGACCGCGACACCGGCGCACCGCGCGGGTTTTTCCAGCAACGTTCGCGTCACCGGCCAGCCTCCCGTCCCGCGGGCGCTGGATCACGCGGAAAACACCGCGGCATCAGCGCGGCTGATAGTGAGGAACGGGGGAGGCGAGACCGATAGGGCGCATGGTGTATCACGTTAGTAGGATAAATTCACGTGAATGGGGCGACGTGACGGCCCAGGGGGGGGGGGGGGGGGTGGGGGCGGAAAAACGGGGTGAGTGCAGCAGGGCGGAGGAGATGTTCCTTTCCGTGCAGGCGGTGTTGGCAGGGCGCGTCATGTGGCCGTTACAGGATATGCAAAGTAGGGTCGTGGTGCGGTGGTGTTAGAAATTTTGTGAAGCCTGAACAAGTTAATAAGGGTGTGTTTAGTTGGTGAAAAAGGAAATTTTTAGGTGTCACATCGAACGTTTGACTGGATGTCGGAAGGGGTTTTCGGATACGAATGAAAAAACTAATTTCAGAACTCGCCTGGAAACCGCGAGACGAATCTTTTGAGACTAATTAAGCTGTCATTAGCACATGTGGGTTACTGTAGCATTTATGACTAATCACGGACTAATTAGTCTTAAAAGATTCGTCTCGCGATTTCCCCCATAACTATGCAATTAGTTTTTCTTTTTATCTATATTTAATGCTTCATGCATGTGTCAAAGATTCGATGTGATGTTTTTGGGAAAAAAAATTTTGGGAACTAAACGGGCCCTAAGAAGTTAATAAGGCTGATTTCTTTCCCTAACTTTTCTAACTCAAGGGTGTTTATATCCATGGTGTAAAGTTTTGACATGTCATATCGGGTATTATATATGGTGTCCAATGGGGTGTTTGGGCACTTAAAAATAACTAATTACATAATCCGTAAGTAAACCGTGAGACGAATTTATTAAGCATAATTAATCTGTCATTAGCAAATATTTTACTATAGCACCACATTATTATGGAGCAATTAAGCTTAAAAGATTCGTCTCGCGAATTAGTCGCAATCTGTGCAATTATTTATTTTTTTAGCCTATATTTAATACTTTATGCAGGTGTTTAAACGTTCGATGTGATAGGATGAAAAATTTTACGGTGGGATCTAAACATGGCCTCACCTCCATTGTTTTTTTATGTGCGCTTTTTAAACTAATAAAAGTTGTGTTTTTATAAAATTTTTCTATACGAGAGTTGCTTTAAAAATTATATTAATCAATGTTTTAAAATTTTTTAGCTAATATTTAATTAATCATAAATTACATGATCACTTTGTTTTGCGTGTATGGATGGGTTCCCAAACCATGCTCCGAACGCAGCCATATAAATTGTATAAAACCATTATCCATTTATTAAACGTTTATATACCAAATTAAACACGTAACAGTTTTTCTAGTAAAAGCATAGTTTAACATGCATGCAAAATTTTCACAGTTCAAACCTAATGATTTATAATAAAAATGGACGATTTTGGTACTCAAAGTCAATCACGTTAGTCATAGTGAAGCATGGATGTTTCAAGGCTTCTAATTAAGAGTTTAGCATGTTAACTTTGTTGGAAATTAGTAAATGGGTGGACTTTTACAACGAAATCAGTAGACTTAAATGGATCATGCAGTAGAGCCCGGGCAATTATCCATACTAACCAGAGGGTGAATCCGCCGCTGGGGCCGTTAGTTTGGTGGCGTAAGGGAATATATCGTATACATACGAGTTTCCTATGCACACTTCATACACATCAACTAGCAAATCACGAAAAAATCTAAAAAAAAATAGACATTTACTCCTAATAGTATTACACGTATCTGCAAAATCTCATATTTAAATTTATTATATTTTAACCGTAATAAAAAACGAAAAAATTGACAGTTTAAAGTGTAAAATTCTGTCAGAATTTTGTTTTTTTTACAGCTAAAATATAATGGATTTAAAGATAAAATTACATATGTATGTGTAATACTATTAGAAGTATGTGTTTAATTTTTTCTAAAAGTTTCTGTGATATTAGATAGTTGGTATGCATATAGTATACATGAAAAATATCGTGTGCATATGATATATTCCGGCACTACTTGTATATTGTTAAAGGCCTCAGAAACCTGAACGAGAGGCTAAACCAGCTATACTACTTGTATAAGTTATCGTGCAAATCTGAATATGATAGTAGCATTTCATCATGCTACTTGCAAAGCCGTGATGGGAAAGTCACGAATTTTTGGTCAAACAACCACCATACCCCGGGTTAAGTACTACTATTACTCCTATTATGAGTACGGCTGTTTTAGTTCACTTAAAACTTTCAACTTTTCCATCACATCAAGTATTTGAACACATGCACATAGCATTAAATATAGATAAAAAAAATCAATTGCACAAATTACGTGTAAATTGCGAGATGAATCTTTTGAGCCTAATTACGTCATGATCTGATAATATGGTGCTACAGTAAATATTTGCTAATGATAGATTGATTAGGCTTAATAGATTTGTCTCGCAGTTTACATGCGAAATCTATAATTTGTTTTGTTATTAGTTTATATTTAATACTTTAAATATGTGTTTGTATACTTAAAAAAATAAAATAAAACTAAACACGGCCTACATGTAAGAGTACTTAATGTACTCTCATTTCCAAAACAGCAGTATTATATGATAAAACTCTACTGTATTACTAGTACTGACAGTTGTGATGATATAATAATTCCCCCACACAAAACCAATTCTTCTTTGCTGCTGCCCATGCAGAGTTGAGAATCACCCCCTCTTATTTTATCCCCAACTCCCAAAGAAACCCGGAAGCAGAGAGATGGCTCGCTGGCACACAGAGAAAACAAAGCGAGTAAACAAAACAAAAAGGGGAAAGTTGCAGGGGGAGGCGGCCAGAGCAAGACCGGGGGAGGGAGGAGAACAGATAACTATTCTAAACTCTGAAGGTGAGACGCTTTCGTTGTTTAAGTGGTTATAATTTTTTTTAATAAAACTTAATAAGATAGATTAATACTCCCTCCGTTTAATGTTATGAGACGTTTTAACTTTGTCAAAGTTAAACTTCTTTTAAGTTTGATTAAGTTTGTAAAAAAAATAGTAATATTTTCAACCAAAGATAAATTTATTATGAAAATATATTCAATCATTGATTTGATGAAACTAATTTAGTATTATAAATATGACTATATTTGTCCATAAACTTAATTGAACTTGAAACAACTTGATTTTGACCAAAATCAAAATATCTTATAACATGAAACGGATGAACCATGTTATAAATTACTTCACAAATATGCAAGATTAAATTTAACTTCTACATGTTGCAACTAAAAACAAATTTAACTATTGTGAATAGACATTAACTAGTTATAATTTAATTAGGTATTTTTACAACTTATTTTAACTTATATGTTTGCGGAGTAATCTATCATATATTAATATATCTAGTTAATTTTTTTCATAATTATTCTGATAGCATGTAAATAACGAGGGAATATCTCCTCGAGAGTTTAGGACCTGTTTGATAGAGCTTAAAACTCCTGAATTTAACTCTAAGGAAGTGTTTGGATAATGGGTTTGGGATATGATTTCCCACCCCTCAAAGAGTAAGTTTCAATCCTAGCCATCCATTCTTCTCACTCCATTTCATCCTATCCCTCCATTCATTTCCATTTCCCAATCCCATTTCTCCTAACCCATTATCCAAACACGCCCTAAGAGTTAGATCTTGAGTGAATTTGTGGAGTTGTCTAAACCCAGCTCCACATCTCTAATTTATTTATGAGAGCGCTCTATCTGATCATGCTTCCATTTTAGATGAAACTGAAACTACGTGGTTGAACTGTGGAGCTGCCAAACAGGTCGAATCCTCCCGAGAATCCTCCCGAGGAGAGGAGATCCGTCCGTCCATCAATCTACCACCGCCTCCGCGCGGCGAGATTTATCGTGTGCACACTGCCTCTACCGCCGCGTGCGCGGCCGGGCGATCCGGGCCGTGCCAATCCACCACCACCACCACCACGACGCAGGGGGAGGGGGGCGTCACCGTCAAGTAACGGCCCCCCACCCCACCCCCCCTCGTCCAGGGCGCTTCTGGGGGAGGGCGCCTGCGCCCACCGTGGGTGGTCGCCTTTAACACCCCCCTCGCTCCGTTACCGTCTCTCCCCTTCCCCCTCCCCCTCCCCCACACCCGCTCGCTGCTCATTCATCCACGCGCGGTTCGATTTGATCTTTGATTGATTGAAACGCTGCCGTCGAATCGAAAAAAATAATTCAAGGATTGTGTTTTTGTTGGTTCGTCCTGTAATAACGTTTTTTTTGATTGTTCGTTCGTTCGTTCGTCTGTGGATGTGAGGAGGAGGAAGGAGGTCCTCTGATTCGGGAGTTGCGGAGTTCTTGGATTTGGCCTAAGGTACGTACTACGTGGGTATAATTTTTTTGTGGGGTTGGATTGGATCTTTTGGTGTTCTTGTGAGGTTGGTGGTGTTTAGATTTGTGAGCCTGATGTGATTTGTGAACCGGATGTGCAGGAGGAGAGATTTTCGTTTTTCGTATCAACCCGACGGCTGTGTGATGGACGCGAGGGAGGTGTGAAGCCCAGTCGCTGATGCTCGTGGAGAGATTCGGAGGAGAGGAGCGCGCGGTGAGGAGGCGGTGGAGGCGGAAGCGGCGACGAGTTGGCGAGAAGCGCAGCAGCGACGGACGACGAGCAACCGGCGGGCGACGAGGGCAGGAAGAGGGCTGCTCCTCCCCCTCCGCCTCCGCCGCCGGCCGACGCCGTCATGGGGGAGTCGCTGCTCACCGCGCTCTCCATGGACACCACCACGGCCCACCACCCGCACCAGGGCCCCTCCACGTTCCTCTCCATGGACACCGCCTCCCACGACGACTTCGACCTCTTCCTCCCGCCGCCGCCGGGGCCGTTCCGCCGCTGCCTCCATGCCGCGGCCGCCGCCCCCCCTGACATCAACCTCCCCCTCGACGCCGACCCCTCCCCTCCGCCTCCGGCTCTGCAGTCCGGCGCCCTCCACGACCCCAACGTCGACATGCTTGATGTCGGCCTCGGCGGCCCGCAGCTTTACGACTCGGACTCACCTGCTGCCACCACCGGCGTGTCCCCTGCCCCGGCCGCCGCGACCACCACGGTCGCCGTATCACATGCCAAGGGCTCCAATTCCAGCGCTGCCCGCAAGTGCGTGAAGAGGAACGATACCATATGGGGCGCGTGGTTCTTCTTCACCCACTACTTCAAGCCGGTCATGTCGGCTGACAAGAACGGCAAGGCGAAGGCCCCCACCGCCGGTGGGAACGGTAATAATGCTACGCTGGATGCTTTCCTAGTGCAGCACGACATGGAGAACATGTACATGTGGGTGTTCAAGGAGCGGCCAGAGAATGCCCTGGGGAAGATGCAGCTAAGGAGCTTCATGAACGGGCACTCGCGCCTTGGGGAGCCTCAGTTCCCGTTCAGCGCGGAGAAAGGGTTCGTGCGCTCACACCGCATGCAGCGCAAGCACTACCGGGGGCTGTCCAACCCGCAGTGCCTGCACGGGATCGAGATCGTCCGGGCACCAAACTTGGCTGGTGTGCCCGAAGCTGATTTGAAGAGGTGGACAGAGCTCACCGGAAGGGACGCTAACTTCTCGATTGATGCTGAGGCGAGTGATTATGAGTCATGGAGAAATCTTCCTAGCACAGATTTTGAGCTTGAGAGGCCAGCAACTACTGCTGCCACGAAGACTAGCTCACATGGCCATCACAAGAAGTTGCTCAACGGTTCTGGCCTTAACCTGTCAACACAGCCATCGAATCACAGCTCTGGGGATGGTCTGGACATCCCAAATATTTGCAACAAGCGCCGGAAGGATTCCTCCCCCACAGCGATGGAAGAAGATTGCAGCAATTCAAATTCAGACAAGGTCCAGGACATGGAAGTGAGCCACACGTTCGAGCCGTCATGGATGAATGACTTCACTGGTGTGATGCGCCATGCTTCTGGTCCAGTGACTGCAGCAAAAACAATCTATGAAGATAGCAAGGGGTACTTGATCATCATTAGCCTACCGTTTGCTGATATACAAAGGGTGAAGGTTTCATGGAAGAATACTCTTACAAATGGGATAGTTAAGGTATCATGCACTAGTGTTGGCCGGATGCCATTCTTGAAGAGACATGACCGGACCTTCAAGTTAGTCGATCCTACACCTGAGCATTGTCCACCAGGAGAGTTTATTCGGGAAATTCCACTCCCTACTCGGATCCCGGAAGATGCTACTTTAGAAGCATACTGTGATGAATCAGGAACAGGCCTAGAGATTATTGTTCCAAAATACCGTGTTGGTCCTGAAGAACATGAAGTTCATGTGTCCATGAGGCCCCCCTCGTCATGGTGCCAGTCTTAACATGTTCAAGGTGTGTGGTGCATGCCCTTGTAGCTGGTAGAAATCGATTATTGTCAACTTCTGTTGACTGATGTTTTGCTGTCTGCTAACCCTCAGCTCGCAAGGAGACGTTCAGAGACATAGCATACAAGAAAATTGCTCTCATTTTTGCTAATTGGAAAGGGAAAGGGAAACAATCGTAATTGATTGAAGCATTCTGGTATTTGGCATTTGAAACATTTGTAGGACCATGCTACATATCACAAGGAACATATCTGGATTAATTCGATCTTCGTTTCAGTATATTTGTTTGGGAATACCTTATGTATTATCTTTTGTTTTCATTAGAATTTCTGTGTATGCATAGTTTGTTGCCCGCTCGATGTGCTTCCGTATGTGCATTATTGTCTCGAGCGGTTTGATTCTACAAAATTGACTCCTGAAGAACTGTATAGGCATTCCATAGATAGGTGAGAAGCTTGTTCTTGTGAGCATTCTTGGAAATTTCATCTCATTTATTTGATGGAAACTAGGAAAAGGAGTACTTATCAGTGCTTTCTAGGATTTGCCAATGTTTAGTTGGAATTAGTGGGAGCTTTTTAGCACTTGTGAACGTTTTCCATTAATCGCTGGAAGGCAAGTGTAAGTGATTGATGGTGCCAATGTGCCTATATATGTTATCATTATAGAAATGATCAGCACCTATCAGTTACGAGTACTTCAGTTTTCATCTGATATCATTCAGTATGGTTGTTCGGTTCAACCTCAGAAAATTTCTGCCTGAATATTTCTCTCGAATGCGTAACAGTTTGCATGGATTAGATCGTTTGACTGAATCTCACGCCTTCCTTACGATATTTATGTGTCGAAACGCCGTTTGGATAGGTTTGATTATTATCGGTGTACCATGTTTCAGACAAGCACATTGCAAATTGTTTACCCTAACGAAATGTCTGGGTGAAAGCTGACCCATCGGCTTTGTAGTAATGCTTTTCCTGAAAGTGACAATTGTTTGGAATACTTCACATCTGGCTCCTGGCTATACCATACAGCTGGCCACCCTGGATTTCTCTTGCCTCTTGTGATACCATCTCAGCTGATTGATCTCACGAGCATAATGCACCACTGTGTTTAGTTCACATCAAAATTAAAATTTTAGTTGAAATGTCAAAATTGGAAGTTTTGTTGAAATTGGAACGATATGATAGAAAAGTTGAAAGTTTATGTGAGTAAAAAAGTATGATGTGATGGAAAAAGTTGAGATTTTGAAGAAAAAATTGGGATCAAAACACGGTGCAAGCATCGTCATTTCTGGCTCCAAGCCTTCATCATTTTAAGCCCTCCCTTTCCATGACGTTCCCACTCGAGGATCTTCATGTTCATCACCGCTATCTACTCCTATCCGATATAAACACGATCACACGATGCTTACAAGCGGATAACCCTTGTTAATTCGATCCTTGTTGACCTGCAAGAGATAGAGAGATGGGGAGTAGTAGTAGTAGTAGAGGATCTGAAATCTGAAAGCGATTGCGAAGCGGCACCTTGGCCCCGTTGGCCGTTGCCCACGTATCTGCGTCTCACCGTTTCGATAAGCCGGCCTTTCGCTCGCCCAAAGGACGCTCTCCGCTCCGCGTATCGTAGCGCAAGTTGGCGTGATGCCGCGGGTGTCTCGCTCTCGCCGACGGAACGGGGCCCTGACCTCGGTCTTATGATGATGATGATCACATCCTACTCTCTCTTGTGATAAGCTGGGTTTTCAGATCGTGGAAGCGCCGCTTATACTAGCTCGCTTTTGCACAGGGCCATTTCCAGGAGGCCCAGGATCACTAGTGTCTATAAATAATAGGAGTAGTTGGTGTTTCTTTGGTTGCTGTCTGAACTGGATAAGCAATTAAGGGTCCAGCTTGTGTTATCTGGTTATCCTTGTGTGCGAGCAACTATAACTCGTGACCGGAGAAAGGAGCAAGAGAAAAGTTTTTATTAGACTTGCAAAAAGATTCTTGGTTTGGTTTGGTATGGTTTGGACATTCACCAGCCCACCATAAATGTTCTTGGTGCCTTATCAGCTTTGCTGCCATTGACATGTCGGCGTGCCTGCATTTTCTCATGGACTGCATTTTGCTTTCGCTGGATCTGTACCGTACCGTATGAGATTGTTTTTGGGGCGATTATAGTACCAATTAGAACCAAAAAGGATCTTTTTGCAGCAGAAATTGGTTACGGTCACTTTCGTCTATATACAATGTCGTCATATTAGTACTCTACCCAATTTTTTGGCTTGCTGATGTATTGTCCTTGGAAAAGATTTTTTTTTTAAGTAAGACTGGGAAAGACGAGAACCGGCCTAATCCGATTTATTAGTACTATCAAACTTGGATATAACGACGAGTGTTTCTTTGCTGAAGAACCTGTATGGAATATACTCTCGCCTTTTTGTTATCTGGGGCCCTCAGTCTTTAACCCTATTAAATTGTTCTGTGAAATGCCTTTCAGGCTTTCAGCTACCGAGTAATCATATTGCAGTGTCAATGGTTTCCACGTAAATATGATGCATGATGTTCTGCCCATTGTTTTGCTGCTGCCTGCTGCTGCTACGTCTTTGTACGCTTGATGCATTTTCCATTTTGACCCGAAAAGCAGGAGAGGACTCCAACAACAGCCTGCATGTGAGATGTGGTAGATGATGGAATTCTAAATATTTGGTGCCGAAGCTTCTGTAGTGATATGCTAGTATAATGCAACCATGGAAGGGACAGCCGAAACGAGACGCCACCCTGACCCTCCAACACATTACACATAGCTAAACCATTCTAATAAGTCAGTGAAGGTGTGGCCTAATAAGGACCTCAAGTTTTGGATGGAAGATTAGAGATGAGGAGATGAGACGAGACGCATGCAGAAGCGAACCAGAATGCACTGGTGCGGGCAGTCTGGTACAAGTAGAATCATCGGGACTTGTTTTCAGAGACAAGGTAGTAACAACATGACTTGGCAAGTTGGCGTGCCAACAATAGTCTACTGTTGACTGTAGTGTTGTACAAATGTACAGTCCGTGCAGCTGTATCACGATACTATTTGAGTCTTTACAAATGTACAGTCTTTCACGTATACAATGACGAAGAACAGCTGAAAAGGACCAAAGGCCGCAGCTAAGCCTGCCAATGAGTTGGATTGGAATGGATCTAATGGATTGGTTTTCAATTTAGATTCACTTGGTATGGGTGTAAACGGGTTGAGATAGCTAATGGACTGGAGCGGCTTGGATGTGGGATGGAGGTGGATTGGATTGGATTGGTTTTTGTCATAAGTTTTGGGTCTAAAATGGATGGAGTCCATGGATTTCAATTGGATTCACCTCCAAATACCAGCCATCAGTTCATCGCTAGTCTTCTCGACGGCCATGTCGTCGGCGGGATGGCGCTGCAAAGTTGCTGCTCCTCCTCCTCCATGCCCGCGACCTGTTCGGCGCTTTGCCTCGCGGAAGCCACGCGCGCGGGAGCGGGAGGGCGCCGACTCCAAGGCGGTGCAGCTGGTGCTTGGCGGCCACGCGCACGACGACGGGTCCGAGTCCGAGTTGCTTTCTGCCTACAACGGTGTGCTGCTGAGGCTGCCCTTTCGGCAGAAAACCTTTCAAGATTGACGATCGACATGTAATACCTGTATGGAAAGCAATTTTCTCTTCCCCTCTACAATCTCTCAATTCCATGTAATATAATGTAATGAACATTGTTTTCTCCCCCAAATGCAATGACAAATTCAGGTGGGGAAGCTCCCCCCTCCCGCGTGATTTAGTAAAAAAAAAAACTAAAGCACATGCCACCCATATGTACATAATAACATTTTTTTTAGATAATGATGTACATATAATAACATAAATGTTCATGATCACAAGTCCTCGCAGAAAAGATGGAAAGTTTTGGACCCTCGATGCATAGATAAAGTGCATCAAATCAGTCACAAACATCTACGTGATGTTAGTAATTGGTACTCCCTCCGTTCTAAAATATAAGAGATTTTGGACGGATGTAACTCATCATAATACTACGAATCTGGTTAAGAAACCTGCCTAGATTCATAGTAATATGATATGTCGCATCCACCCAAAATCCCTTATATTATGGGACGGGGGAGTACTTACTCTCTCCGTTAAAAAAAAAGGAACATTCCTAGCATCCAACTAAAGATTAAAAAGACCAAAATGCCCTTCATTATTGAAAAAAGGGAGTACTTACTCCATCCGTTCAAAAAAACATTCCTAGCATCCAGCTGAAGATTAAAAAGACCAAAAATACCCTTCATTATTGAAAAAAAAAAGTAGTAATGGTGCTACGCAGGTAATGGTATTTAAGAGATAAAACTTTTTTATGGGTTGAGGGTAGATATGATGATAGAAGTTGGTTTTTATATGACTAGTTTTTTTTACAGAGAAGGTAGCTTTGAATGGCGTAAGAGGCACGATTGCATAGAGCGCATCTCAAATGGGAGAGGCGGAGAGCCAAGCTCAAATACGTTTGAGATATTGGGTCTGTTGAGTAAGCTGGGACTATAGCTGTGGCTTCTATAGCCCCACTATTATGGAGCTTGCCGGACTGTTTCGGTTGGCTGTGGCTCGCTGGTAGCCAAACATGCCCATTGCTTATATACCTTTATACTGCGTATTCTATGATCGCTTCAACGGGCAATGTGATCATCCAACTGCTTCACTTATGCCTCGCTCGTTAAGCGAGCGCCGAATCTATGCCAATCTATTGCTCCACACTTTTCGCTCGTTAAGCGAGCACCGAATCTAAATACTTAACTTGCTCGACCCGTCTCTAATTCTCTTATCACTATACCTTGTCTTTCAAAAGAACAGCAGCCGTTGAGGCTGTGATATCGCCCGGCCGCTAGCACACGGTAAACTACTGATTAGTCATGCGTCACAATGGTGGATCCGTAGATGTTTTTTTCTGTTATTTTTCTTTATAATTTCATATATTGAAATATCTGGCATTCTTTTTTTGGGTAGATTTATTTTTTTGCCAGGACATCATCACAGATTTAGGTACAATTTAAAAGTGAAAAGTACATGAGAGAGTGTGTTAAAGTGTCCATGTGTCGAATTCAGGTTTTAGACCCTTGAATGATCTTATAGTTTTGTTTATACTTATACTTATAAACTATTTTTTATCATATTTTATTTATAGTATTTATTTTTGAGTCACTAAGAATATGTATAGAAAAGTTTTTATTTGCTAATAATGGATACGAATAAGTACAATGGGGCTTGAAATTATGAAGCCGCCCCCTGTTGGTACTAGTAAACAGTTTTCAAGGCTATGGGCTCGTTTTCTGCCATATCCATTGGGTTGGGTTTAGTGTTTCTGCACGTCCATGGGCCGGAGATAGTAGACTCGGTAAACTGCAAGCAACGAGGGTACTATTATCGCTTTCTGAAATACACGCATGCACAAAGTGGTATCGTCTGATCACTATCGTTTCCACCTATAATTTTACACGTTCTTTTTTTTTTAAAAAAAAACAACTGGAGTAGAGTTTTATGCAACTTTTGAAAGCACGAACGGCGGGTCGGTGGCTAGCCCGACTGCCTCCTTCCCTCCTCTTCTTATTCCTCTGGAAGGTCTTGCTCTGAGCTCTGGGCGCGGTGTAAAAATTTTCCATATTCCACTGCCCACTGGGTGAGATGGCTGATCGGATTGAAGGCCAGCGCTAGCC